GTGCGTCCCTGAAACTCCTGATGCCACTTGCTGGCAGAATGGTCTCCACGAAAGGAAGCTCTAGAGGGCCTCATATTCGAAGGGATACGGACCAACTCTTCCATTCTGGCAGAGACGTTCTTGGAAACATTGGAACCTCATTTGCAAGTAAAAATATGATAATTGTTTTTTTTTACCCTTCTATCTGGCAACAAAACTGACACCTGCGCCTTTTGGCGTCATCTGGTCCGACACCATGTGAGACTAGGCTCTAAGCAAAGCTGTCTTGGGTGTGGACCAATCAACTTCAAGGACAGTGCACATTATCAGAGTTATGTTTTTTTTTGCATTATGATTGCAGGTATTGTGGTCTATGCAAACATGACTCCTTGTAAAAAGGTGTCAGTTTTGTTGCCAGATAGAAGGGTAAAAAAACAATTATCAAGGTGGGGGCACTCAACCGTCACCCCATTCGGTCACAGTTCCTATGATCACTGTTTCATTGCTTTCATGGCTTTATTTTGGTGATTTCGAAAGTTTTTTTGGTGTGGTCATGTTTGTTTGTTGTAGTACGGTTGTCTTGTGGTTGTTGTTGTTGTTGTTTGACTTGCATCGCACTGGGATTTGTGCACACAGCGTTGGTGTACGGTGCTTTTTCTGCAATATTTTGCTGTCTTTTGTTGGATTTTCAGTTTGCACATAGTCACAAATTCACTTCAAGATGTTTTTTTATTCATGTTTTTGTTTGTTGCGGTTGCACCCGATTCAAGAGCCGAATGGCTCACAGGGCTTTACCTAATACATGAACTTGAACTTGAACCCCACCAAACACGTGACCTGCCCATCGACTTTGCTGTGGATGTATCCCTCTTAATGGTGCTGGGTGTAAACCGTCGTTTCTAAACCGATCGAGCAGAAACGACTTCAGTGTTGTACGTAAGGGGCCGTCCATAAATGACGTCACGCACCTAGGGGGGGGGGGTCAGACATTTGTGACGATGTGTGACGAGAGGGGGGGGGGGGTGAGAAATGTGCCGTCACATCAAAATGCGCAACTTTAAATCAATATAGACATTTATTTAAAAAAAATTAATAAATGTTTTCTCTTACAACATCAGAGTGCAGCGCCACATTAAATACGCACTTCAATGGCAATAGTTTAAAGCGATTTGAAGCATGTTCAAAAACAATTTGGGGGGGGGGCAGAGCTTTGTGACGTCTTTTGAGGCGGGGGGTCTGACTTTTTGTGACGTCGTGTGACGAGGGGGGGGGGGATAAAAAATCGTCCAAAATCGCGTGACGTCATTTATGGACGGCACCCTAAGTCCACCGCGCTAACTCACCCCATCCCCTAGAAACATCATTCTCTAATACTCGCGCGGCGAGATTCAAGAGAGATGTGAAATTCTCCCGACCGCAGTTACCGACCGATCTATTTGGTCGAACTAATTAGCACTCCGCCACTGAAATCTGAGAACGTCAACATCGATTTTGGGACCTTGTGTTCGCGGCGCGGTGATCGCACGGATATAATCTCAGCGGCGTAAGCGTTCATCGTGATCGGAATGTGTCCACTAAGCATTGCAACACGCTCGTCGTTCACAAGGAACTTTGTGACGCCTTAGCGGCCGGCCCCCTTGCCTCTTGTTGATACACCATCAGCTTCACTCGTGCAGTGACGAAGCATTCGAAGTGTATCCGTGTGTAGCTCCTCAACCTCGATCCATTGCCGGCGGGCGAGCTTGAGAGGGACACGAGACCAAAGGGCATCTACTGCGGCAGGCAAGCCAGTAAGTCATCATCATTTGCTCTTTCTTCGTGTTATCTTAATGCATGTGGCCGTTCCGTGATTCGTAAACAAATGGAATGTATCTTCTTGGTTCTTTCGGTAAAGTCACGTAGAAGGGAAATAATAAAATAATAAAAATAAAACATAATAAAATAATTCTCACGACGTTTCAGCCACAACGCAAGCAGCCGTCCTCAGGTGAAGAACAGGTCTGCTTGCGTTGTGGCCGAAACGTCTGAAGAATTATTTAATGTTTGATTTTTATTATTTTATTATTTCCCTTCTACGTGACTTTATCGAAAGAACCAAGAAGATCAATCCCTGCAGTCACGAAAGCTTTAAATCGAAATGGAATGTATTCATAATATAGGTGTATGGGTCAGATCGCGTTATTTATAAATGTTTCGTAACCCTCCACCACCCGACACGGCCAAACAGTTAAAAATTGGAATGTATTATTATCTAAATGTTTGTTTTTCTCTTTAATTGTTTAAGGCGCTGAATCGGGTCAACGGCTTGAATTGACTGCATAAATTCCTACCGAGCTGAATGTCTTATAATCGTAGTCCTGAGCGAAGTATGTTTGGAAATGTAAATGTTGTTCTCGTTCGGCCGTCGCCCTCTGTCAATTTACTTCTGGATGGACAAAGCCTTCGCCACGCGGTGCCTGCGGTCACGTGGAGATTTGTTTGACCATACTTCAACGAGCGTGTTCAGAAATCGCTCGCCACTGATGTTAGCCGTGCGTGTGACTCAAACTCGCTTCGCTGGGTTAATACTGCAGTGCGCTAACCACCGTGCATGGTGTGAAACAGTTGGCACAGCGGTGAGGACACTGCGAAGCTGATTGTAATCACCAGCGAAACATCAAACTCGAATTGTAAATGTCGTGGGTTTACTCTCCAACACACAACCGCTGTGCTGAACCAGCAACTAATTGGCACGTTTTGCTTACGTGACAACCCTTACTAAATTGGCTGTGTCGGGTGGTGGCGGGTGTTAGCGACGCGTTTATATTTACACGATCTAAGCCAAAAAAATAACCCTTTATTATGGATAGCACACTACGCTTTGAACTAACTAACTTTTAATTCCCGACCACAGCTCACACCGTTGCCAAGTGATTATCACTCCTCGTGGACCGGTGAAGTGTGGTAAAAACACCCCATGACCGACACGACTTCATCCAGCAGTGAATTGACAAAAATGCTATTCATCACTTACCTGTCTTGTTGTTAAACTTTATTACACAAAATCTTGCTGGACAGGCCTCTCAGTGGTAGCGCAAGTGGCTGGCGATCTGTACGTTGCGAGTTCGAATGCTGCCTGTGGAGTTGACTCAGCCCATCAGTCCTCCCGTGTCGATACAATAGTAACACCGTGCAAGAAAGCCAACAGCGGTTAAATTTCGATTTGAAGCTTTCGTGACTGCAGGGATTCATCTTCTTGGTTCTTTCGGTAAAGTCACGTAGAAGGGAAGTAATAAAATAATAAAAATAAAACATAATACAATAATTAAATTTCGATTTGAAGCTTTCGTGACTGCAGGGATTCATCTTCTTGGTTCTTTCGGTAAAGTCACGTAAAAGGGAAGTAATAAAATAATAAAAATAAAACATAATAAAATAAAATAATTCTCACGACGTTTCGGCTACAACGCAAGCAGCCGTCTTCAGGTGAACACGCTGTCTTACCGACAGCCCTGTTCTTCACCTGAGGACGGCTGCTTGCGTTGTGGCCGAAACGTCGTGAGAATTGTATTTGTTATGTTTTATTTTTATTATTTTATTATTTCCCTTCTACGTGACTTTACCGAAAGAACCAAGAAGACCAACAGCGGTTGTCCCGTGGATGGACTTGCGCCCGCCATAGGACCGTGGAATTTCTTCCACCGGTTCAGGGCTGTCAATCGCCGCGAAATCTCATTTGAGCAAAACTATTACTTAGATTAATTTTGCCCGTACGTGACCTTCTCAAACTCGACACACTGCCAAAGGAGAACCATCTTCTTGGTTCTTTCGGTAAAGTCACGTAGAAGGGAAATAATAAAATAATAAAAATAAAACATAACAAATACAATTCTCACGACGTTTCGGCCACAACGCAAGCAGCCGTCCTCAGGTGAATAACAGGGCTGTCGGAAAGACAGCGTCCGAATGACGCTGAGAATTGTATTTTATTATGTTGTATTTTAATTACTTTATTATTTCCCTTCTACGTGACTTTGCCGACAGAACCAAGAAGATGAATCCCTGCAGTCACGAAAGCTTTAAACCGAAAGGAGAACCATTAAACACGCACATCTCGGAAATTCAATTCTGCCCGCTATGCTACTTATTTGGATGCAATTTGTGACGCTGAGTTCGTTTTTGCGTCAAAACTTTTAGAAGATCCGGGGATTTCATTACGATGGCGGTTTTTTTTCTCTCTCCGTTGGCATGCACAAAACCATTTTTTTCATTGCGAGGATAATAACTATATAAAAATATTATCAATCTGAACAGTTTGATATCGATCATGTTACATATGCCCTGCTTTGGTATCGATTTGATGGAGGGGGGTTACTTTAGGGTTGTTATTTTTTTAGGGGGGGGGCTTTTTATATTAGTTCATTCAGTTCCGTGTCAAGAGCCACATCGAATGCGTGGCGAAGCTGAACGCTCCGTTGTTATGCACCTTGGATCAGTTCACTTCGTGTTTTAAGTCCGAGAACGCGAGTCAAAAGTTTAAATTGGGCAAAGGCTATTTCGGTGTTCCGCAGGTTGGCCCGCAGTTTTTATACGCATGGCGATTCGATAGCCTTAAGCACCGAATTGCGCTGAAGGATTCGTCATTCTGCCGTGCAGTATTGTGTTTCAACCATAATAGAGCTGAATATATATTTATTTATTTTGTAGTGGGTTGGTGCGGGATTTCCTGAAAATCTGAGGCCCTGGAATGCAGCCCCCTTAAGCCTCGTGTCACTTGCGCACTCACGCACTCACCTGTTTTGCCTTTCCTAAACTCTGCACTACGATCGTGTTTTAGTTTTTTGTGTTGTTTGTTCTTGAAACGTTCTGACCCCTTGCCCCTTGCCTGGACATCTGTGCATTTAAAAAAATAGCTTTATAGCTCATCGGATTCCCCCCAGCCTAAACAAACATTCCGATTCTGTTTTTTGTGCTCGCAATCTTTCTTTTCTATGTTTCTTTTCACAGAGCCCCCAGAAGTCGCGCACCTGCATGTTGGTGGGTGGGGTGGGGGGGGTGGGCACGTGGCAAGCATGGCGAACAGTTCCAACTGCACGCTGAACGAGAGCTACAAATTCATCTACCTGCCGGTCGCCTACTCCGTCAGCGCCTTCTTTGGCATCGTCTTCAACGGCTTCGTCTTCTCCCGCCTCGTTTGCAGGAAGAGGAAAAAGCTGAGCTCGAGTTCGCTGTTCACGGTGAACCTGGCCGCAGCGGACTTCCTGTACGCCACGTCGCTCATCTTCCTCATCCACAGCTACGTGGTTCACGACAATTGGGTCTTCAAGGACTTCATGTGCCGCCTCGTGCGCTTCATGTTCTACTTCAACCTGAACGTCAGCGTCCTCTTCCTCACGGCCATAAGCCTGTACCGATACCTGGGCATCTGCCACCCGATGTCCACCCTGCGGTGGCGGAGGAAAAAGGTCGCCATCGGCATATGCGCGCTCGTGTGGGTGGTCACGATCGCAGAGTCGGTGCCGACGCTGTATTTCAGCGGCGTTACGCTGACCACGCGACAAGAGGAGTGCTGGGACTTCAAACCGAACAATTCGTCGGAGGACAAGCCCTACAGCGTCGCGGTCATCTTCACGGGATTCGTGGTTCCCTTCATTGTCACCTTGGTCTTCTATTCCTTCATCATCCACACCTTGAGAAACTCCTTGTCGCTGGGCAGCGCCCGGCAGGACGTCAAGCGTGTGAACGCCATCCGCACTATTATCGTCGTCCTCGTGATATTCATCATCTGCCACCTGCCGTACAACATCAGCAAGTTGGTCTTCTTCTTCTCCGGCGGAAACAGCTTGACGTGCGAGGCCGACGCGTTGGTTAAAACGTACAAGTTGATGCGAGGCCTTGTCAGCCTCAATTGCGCCCTCAACCCCATTGTGTACTTTGTGAAACTCAGAAAGTCACGCAGGAACCATCACGCGAGAAAACGGACAGTTTTCGCGACCATCTCGAGCAACGCCAAAAATATATTTCCCTCCCTTTGGCAGGACGAAAGAAATCCAAACGGAACCAATTGACACGATGTGGACCGATAAAGGTTCAGCAACAACTGATTTAACGTCGCGGCGTATGGAAATGAATTTCCACGGTACAGTGACGTTACGAGTTGTATTCCCGGTCAAGATACAACAACAACAACAACAACCGCCATTCGCCACTAAGTGGCGGTGACGTCACCACGACGCTTGTGCCAGGCTAGGTGCACGTTGAGGCCACGTAAAGTGTCGAACGCCGGCTGGCAGGAGGTCACGGGGCAGACCCAGATGCCACAGGGCGACTGACTGAGACGACTGGCTGATGCACCACCTGTGCCCCCTACTGTGCCAACTTGCTGTGCTTTAGCCACCCGGCACTCCGCTTGTCGTTGTGAGCGTCGCTCCTCCGCCCTCCGTTATTGTTGGAGGGCGTCTACCTCCAACTGCCCAGTAGCGTCCTTCACGAGCCTCCTCCACAGAGGCCGGTCTTGACACCGCTGGTACCAGTCATCGGCAAGTCCACTCAACTCCACGTCCTCCTGTACCACATCACTCCATCTCTTCTCTAGCCCGTGCCGCGCTCGTTAAGCCCCCTCGATCCGGCCGAACAAAAGCTGTTTAGGCATGTGGTGATTGGGCATGCGGGCTACATGACCTCGCCAAGATACAGACTCTGCAACACGCACACGCAGCATAAGTGGGGTGATATTACAATACGAATTTGGCCACTCGGCCAAATAGTTTAACGTTCCAGACTGTGATGGTTAGACTCTGGATGTCAGAGTTTGTCCGCTTCGACAAGAGACGGCCAAACAATATGCTGTTACACGTATGTACATTTTTACTTGGGTAAGTAGAATTTGTCCGTTAATTTGTTTAGCACAAATCTCACTCAAAACATTCCTGTGTGGCACGAACGATGGTTCTCGTGTTCTCTCCTACCTTGGCTTTTGTTGAAAGAAATGTCCGTGTTTATTTATGTTTTTTGTAAAAAAAAATCTTGCTTTTTATGTTGTAATGGTTTCTACTTTATTTTTATGTTTTGTGTTTTGTTAATGTTTTTAAAAATGTTTGTTTAATGTTTCTTTTTATGTTTGTTTTTAAAGTTCCACGTTACATTGTGTAAAGGTGCAGCTAGGCAATTTATTTGCTTGATAATGCCACTTACTATCAGGAGGGCCTCGGTGAGAGCGAGAGAGGGCCCTTCTAGTGCAGTAGTTCTTCACATTAACTGCAGCCTTGCACCCCTTTGGTTCTCAATTGTAATTTTTTTGCACAATGTTAATAAATACATAGGGTTCGATGAAACAAAGTAAGTTGTAACTTACGTGCCCATGCTTAATTTGTGTTCATACCCACTACTCTAGAGGGTCTTTGGCCTCTCTATTCCACACGCCGGCCAGACAGACGTCTTGGAATAACAGCTGGAAGCACCAACACGCTGTGCGATTCAGACTGAAAGCCTCCGTTCTTGTTAATTTAAACAAATATATACCATTGTATGATTGTCGCCGCAGGAGCCCTGTATCTCCTTGCGCGATAAGAACGTTGCAAAATCCAAATGTACCGATATCATCTTTTTAGATCTGACAATTTCACAATGGTCAACGGCCCCACGGCGTTTTAACCTTCGGCAAAGCGTCTGAGTCGGCAGCGGTGGTGTGCGCGCAGTGGTCTATGACTCTAGGCGGCGTCTCTGCCTTTGCTACGTTGACAATTCTTGCCCCTCCTGAAGTCCGCCTGGAACCACGGTCTCGTCGCAAAGGGCCTCTCCTCGCGTGGCTCGAAAACAAAACTGTCGTTTGAGCAAAAGACGCCGGCAATTGCGAAAATGTGGACGATGCTGGAAAGCTTGGAAGCCATGTGCTCCTCCATCGTGACTGCTATAACCTCGTGTGCACACCATTGGAACCTCCTTTGCCAGTAGCAAAATATGATAAAAAAAAATTTATTTTGCTACTGAAAAAGGAGGTTCCAATGGTGTAAATGCTTACCCCGAGCTCTCATACTCTGATGGTGCATTGTCTTTGAGTTGTGCGCCTTTTGGCGTCATCTGGTCCAACACCATGTGAGACTAGGCTCTAAGAAAAGCTGTCTCGGGTGTGGAACAATCAATTTCAAGGACAGTGCATGCATTATCAGAGTTGTGTTTTTTTTGCATTCTGACTGCAGGTATTCTGGTCAATGCAAACATGACTCCTTGTAATAAAAGGTGTCAGGTTTGTTGCCAGATAAAATGATAAAAAAACAATTATCATCTCGTGTGCACAGTTTGTTCTCCTAGAACGCGGTAGTTGCTGCGTTCCTGAAAAACACACCGCGTTGTGGAAAAATCGTCTTCTAATTAATCATACATAAAATCGGGGGTAAAGCAGAGTCCGCGATAACGCGTGAGATGCGTACGCAGGCCGAACATAGACTGATGCGCGTGGGTAGCATCTATAAGCATCCAGCAGCATCCCAATGTCTTGTGCGACGATGCTACGTCGAGGCAGCCGTTACAACTTCTGGTTCCGACTCGCGCGACGTGGTTCCGTCCACTCGATCGCGGTGTATCCAAGTCGCTTCCGAGGTTTAACACGTCCCTTCGGAGTGGGCAGGTAGGAACTTGGTTGGACAGCGCATTCGTGCGATCCGTGTCACGCGACGCAAGCTGCGTGGGACAGCGCGTCACGTGGTGCTGAGCCCGCCCGAGGCTCTTTATGAAATACAAATCGAGGGCGTGGCTATGCACAACAGACAGACAAATAATCCCTGGTGGGCAGTGTGGAACTTTCGATTTAAAGCTTTCGTGACTGCAGGGATTCATCTTCTCGGTTCTTTTGGTAAAGTCACGTAGAATGGAAATAATATAATTTTATAATATTATTTTATAATATTATTTTATTATTTCCATTCTACGTGACTTTACCGAAAGAACCAAGAAGACAGTGTGGAACTGTTTTTCCTACCTGTATTAAAATCGTGTTACCTAATACATTCAACGCGGCGTTATAGGAGAACGGACTGTATGTGTACATGCTGAACTTCTTTCGCAGCGTACGTAGCCAACCGTGCAAATCGTAACCAGCGAACCTCGATTATTGATACATTCACTCATAATCCGAGAATATATTTACGAATCAAATATTAGTAGTAATTGTACAGTAATAATACATCACGAATGTATGTTTTACCTTCGAAGGGGGAATGGTGGTGGCACTGTGTTAAGCACTACGAATCTGGAGTTTCATTCCGAGACACGCATAATGTGAGTGGCGAGCGATGTATGAATCGATCCTGGGCAGACGGAGGTCGTCATGCAGCAGTGGTTTGATAAAGGCCGGTTATGTATATATTTTCTCTAGACATTCGTCTTATTTATGTTTCCAACGCTTGGTTTACTCCGACAGTAAACATACCGGACAACGTTGCAGGTCACGTGCAACCCGTCGTTGGAATTTTACACGGTTGGGCAACTCTTCTGTTATAGATAAGTAAATATTTAACAATGCCATTTTAGGAAGGCATCCTGCATTGAAATCATCGGTCAATCCCCTATATTCAGTGATTGGCAGGCGCAAGGAAACCAGATTGCCCAGCGACTTGTGAGAGTTTTCCGCATTTGTGTGAGACGCAAAGACAAAGGGCCCTCCTCGTATAGCCTTCACACACTGTCGGGGGCAAGTACAGTTCGTGAGTAGCGCCAATGATGGCCGCATTACGGCACACGAACGGGTTTGGTGGCCAGCACTACGCCCAGCCACGGATACCTGCCCAGTGGCGATGTTTATAGACTGAAACTTATTTAAGGTTGAATCGACCTCAGGGAGGCACACCAAAGACAAACACAAAGATCCCCCGTGTAGCCTTTACAGACTGTTGGGGCAAGTGGAGTTAGCGAGCACCTATGAAGGCTGGCACGGCACACGAGGGGGTGGGTGGTCAGCACCACGCCCGGCCGCCTTTGTCTCCCGAGTGTCGATGTTTAAAAAGCCGAGCTCCGAAACGTTGAACTTTAAAGGGAAGTACCCCACCCCCAACTCCTTCATTCGTGGGGCACACCTCGTGTTTGCAATTGGCAAACACCATTGATTGTTTTGCCATCATCATATACTCTGGGACAGTGGCCTTAGTGTACTGAGTACACTTGTGCTGGTAACCCCGGTTAATCCGAGTTGGATTCCCACCCACGGCTAACGTCAGTTTCCCACACCTCCGATTAAAATGGTTGGCTACGTACGGTGTGAACGAAGTTCAATGTACACACATACATAGACTCACAAAGAGGCCCACATACTCACACAGAGACCCATAGACTCACACAGAGACCCATAGATTCACACAGAGACCCATAGACTCACACAGAGACCCATAGACTCACACAGAGACCCATAAACTCACACAGAGACCCATAGACTCACACAGCGACCCATAAACTCACACAGAGACCCATAGACTCACACAGAGACCCACAGACTCACACATAGACCCATAGACTCAAACAGAGACCCATAAACTCACACAGAGACCCATAGACTCATACAGCGACCCACAAACTCACACATAGACCCATAGACTCACACAGAGACCCATAGACTCACACAGATACCCATAGACTCATACAGCGACCCACAAACTCACACAGAGACCCATAGACTCACACAGAGACCCATAGACTCACACAGAGACCCATAAACTCACACAGAGACCCATAGACTCACACAGAGACACATAAACTCACACAGAGACCCATAGACTCACACAGAGACCCATAGACTCACACAGAGACCCACAGACTTACACGGAGACCCATACACTCACACAGCGACCCATAAACTCACACAGAGACCCATAAACTCACACAGAGACCCATACACTCACACAGAGACCCATAGACCTCACACAGAGACCCATAGACTCACACAGAGAGCTATATTTTGTTGTCCTACCCCTGCACCTCCGATTAACAAGGTTGGCTACGTACGGTGTGAAAGAAGTTCAACATCTCATACATGCACACGTACCTACAGTGGCGAGCGACAATCTGAACTGATCCTGGACTCTCTGCCCCACTCACCCACAAGCACTGACCAGGGTGGTGAAGTATGGTCGAATGACCGCCGTGACCGACAGAGTGTGGGTGGAGGCCTTAGTCCAGCAGTAGATTTTTGTAAAGGGCTGCAAATGAAATTTCAATTTAAAGCTTTCGTGACTGCAGGGATTCATATTATTGGTTCTTTCGGTAAAGTCACGTAGAAGGGAAATAATAAAAGAATAACAATTAAACATAATAAAAAAAAATCGAATTGTTGCACAAGACAAAAGCGTATACGCGGACAATATATGGAATGCTAAAATGAAATAAGCCGCAGTTCGTTGTGTTGTAATGTCCAATGAAAATGTCGTGAATGTGAAGTGAAAAGCGATTCTAATATTCCGGTGTTTGTGTTTTGTTCAAAGAGATTGCCGCGCGCTGGCTGTATACGACGCTATTTCGCCTGCATCAATAGGTGTACGTGAATGAAGAGCACAAAATAAAATGGGATTTGTTGTTGTATTTACTCCTGAGCTCTAAAAATTTACCGAAAAATGTCAACTCTCATGAAAAATGTTGGCCCGGGTCAACGGCGGAACCAGGAATTTCAGGTAGGAGGGGGCAATCCCTCCAGCAATGAGAAATGATAGAGGAGTTGTTAGTGAGTAAGGTCCCTTGCTTTTTATCCGACGCGTGTGCGGCGATGGCGCAGCCATCGATCGAGGGTCGAAATCGAACCGCGTTGTGTGATCGGCATCGCGCTTGCTGAAGGTGTTGATGCCTTCAGGGAAGTCGTGTGTACTGTATACGCAACTGCGCACAATTATGTGAGTCGCTTTTAACTGCTTTGCCGTTACTTATTGCCAATTATGGACTCGGACTATTGTCCTGTCATCTCACAGAGTCCCTGGCACGTAATAATAATATGCTACACAGTGGCAGTGGGGGTCGCAAAATGCCGATAAATTACTAATAAACCCCAATGATCCGATCGAAATTATGGATTTCGATCGGATCATTGGGGGGGGGGGGGGCACGTGCCACCCCCCGCCAGTGCCCGGGTGGGTCAGAAGTCAAAGAGTGCCGAGCTCAGAATCGGAATCGAGAAATGTGTATTCATCCTGCAGCAAATCCGATGAGCTACGAAGCTCTATTTCACAGATGCCCAGCATGACGCAGCACCGTTGAGATCCTCGGCTGGAGATGTTAACTCCCTCGCCTCGTACACAGGAGGTCGTGAGTTCGACTCTGACCCTGGCGCCTGCTGTATATTTGGAGTTGGCATGTTCTCCCCGTGGTCGTGTGAATTTTTCTCCAGGTCCTCTCGTTTTCCCGTCCACGTTTAGAATCAACGTGCTGAGCTGTCATTTGTGGTCAGGTCTCTTCTGAAAAAGCTTACCTGGTAAAATACAAAATATTTGAATAGTTCAAAGAGTAATAGAATCCTGCTAGAAAAACCGGTTGATTAAACTGGGTTTCTCAAGTGTAGTGAGTCGATGGCTTCAGAGTGAACACCATTAGCTGCACACAAAAAAAAACGAATCACATTACATTTAGTTCTGCACCCCCACCCCCCTCCATTGCCCCACATTCTCTGTTCCCACACCTTGCATACTTATTTTAAGAATGGTTCAGCCAAGCCTGTAAAATAAAAAAAAACCCAACGAGTTTCTGTATATAAGGAGCCGCATGACCTGTGCCTTGGGACGGTTTGTTTAATGACAGACTGTAGCATGCGTCGGAATCGTAAATAAATAAATAAAAAATTTTGGTTCTGCGCTTAATTTCCATTCTTTTTTTTACAAATGTAATGCGAGCAAGGATTGAGGGGGGCGGAGTCTGGGTCACGTGAGGAGAGGGAGGAGTTAGGGTCACGTGGGGGAGAGGATTTAGGGAGAGAACCGGAAGGGATCGGGGAGTGTAGACGGAGTGGAACCGGGAGGAGGCCACGCTGGGCAGTACTGGGAGAGTGGCGCGATCGCCACGTGTTGGGAGACCACGGCACCATCGACCATCGGTGTCCGGTTGGCAGAGAGGGGCTAGCGGAGAGTGCGAGGCTAGCCGGGAGCAGCGGGGTGGCTGCAGAGCAGAGCAGCAGTGTGGCTGCAGAGCGGAGCAGCAGTGTGGCTGCAGAGCGGAGCAGCAGGGTGGCTGCAGAGCGGAGCAGCAGTGTGGCTGCAGAGCGGAGCAGCAGTGTGGCTGCAGAGCAGAGCAGCAGTGTGGCTGCAGAGCGGAGCAGCAGTGTGGCTGTAGAGCGGAGCAGCAGTGCGGCTGCAGAGCGGAGCAGCAGTGTGGCTGCAGAGCGGAGCAGCAGTGTGGCTGTAGAGCGGAGCAGCAGTGTGGCTGCAGAGCGGAGCAGCAGTGTGGCTGCAGAGCGGAGCAGCAGTGTGGCTGTAGAGCGGAGCAGCAGTGTGGCTGCAGAGCGGAGCAGCAGGGTGGCTGCAGAGCGGAGCAGCAGGGTGGCTGCAGAGCAGAGCAGCAGTGTGGCTGCAGAGCAGAGCAGCAGGGTGGCTGCAGAGCGGAGCAGCAGTGTGGCTGTAGAGCGGAGCAGCAGTGTGGCTGCAGAGCAGAGCAGCAGTGTGGCTGCAGAGCGGAGCAGCAGTGTGGCTGCAGAGCGGAGCAGCAGGGTGGCTGCAGAGCGGAGCAGCAGGGTGGCTGCAGAGCAGAGCAGCAGTGTGGCTGCAGAGCAGAGCAGCAGGGTGGCTGCAGAGCGGAGCAGCAGTGTGGCTGTAGA